ACTCGCCTTTTCCGGACTCGATTGTCATCAAGGCACAACGACTCTTGCCTATTAAGTTCATGTGTGTGATACAGCATCTCCAAGTGCATAAGAAGCTTCCAAAACGTCACTATTACCTTCCCAAGTTGACGAGATACAAGGCACACCTCACTTGCCTTATTTGGACCGATTCTACACTTAATGTTCCAACATCCATATTTTCATTAATTGTTGCGATTTGTATCTTCTTTCTAGGTTTAGAACGTGTGTACTCAGCCTATATAAGCTGATCATTAGTTTCATTGTAAAAACACCCTTGATCAATATAAAGTTATAGAAAGTTTTCTTCTTGTCAAAGTTTGAGTCTTTGTCAATCTTGTTCTTTAGTTCTTTGTGAGTGAGTCACTTAGTGCTTTAGAAACCTGCGGATTAAGTTTGTTGAGTGATTCAACACCTTCATTCGTCCATTGATCGAGTGAGTCGATTACCCCACTGATTGAGCGAGTCAATCACCTGAACTATCCCCTGAACCACCCACTGATTCACGAGAGAGTGCTTCTGGCCAGCTCGTGAATTCCACCTTCCGCAAGCTAAGCTTGGAATCTCTTGATCATCAAGTGATCTAAAGTTTGGAGTGATTCCAATCTTGCATCACTCAATTCATAATTACAGATTGGTTCGAATGGTTTATGTGTTAGAGACTTGAATCGTTATAGCATCTACAAAACATTTCCATATAAAAAAAAATCTCATAAAATCTAGAATCTCATATTTTCATATCCAAGATCATAGAGAACCATTTATAAACCATTTTGATATAAAGAAAGAAGAAAATATTATATATTATGCCATGTACAGTAACAATTTTTGTATGGATTGCCATTTTTTTCATGGGATTCTCCCGCCTGCCACAGCCCATAGATAAAAAAGACATATTTGCCCATCTTTTTAATTAACCCTGAAAAACCAAAATATAGTTTGCAACTGCAACACATAAAATTTTTCTCTCTCAATAACGTAACCTTTCAAGTTTCTCTCCCCTACCCGTTGATTCACAGTAACAACAACGAAGCATTCTTCAATGGTTAGATAATTCATCCTTTCTTAATATTTTTGTTAAACAAGTTCTCCAACCCCTTTCTACCACCAAAGCGATTCCTTTCCCTAACCTAATGGCTGACCAGAATCTTTCCATCGCCATCACTATTGAAGACACCGCTTCCTATGGCGGA